AATCCAGATGGGATGTGGTAAAGATTTTCCTTGAAACTAAGTTGTAATATGGTTTGTCATTAAGGCAACATGCTGAAAGAACATGCATTGAGGAAAATATGGGTCAAAAATCCAATCTCTGTTAATTTCTTGGCTTTGTGATTTCAGGCAAATAACCTCACCTCTGTTTACCTCAGCTTACTAATATGTGAAGGGGATAAAAATGGCACCCACCTCCCAAGATTGCAGAAAGAATCACATGATTGTGAAGTACTTAATAGCAGACCTGACATATGGTAAGTACTTTATAAATATTATTGCTTTTCTTTATTTGAATACTGTACTGGGTTTTAGATGTGTTTAGTATAAAATGACAAATGTGAAAAGATGAATGGTTTTCTATGTAAGATAATTTGGAAATGCATGTGACTGATTTGATGTCATCTGGCTAATAACTTCTGTTTCATGCTTTAAATGAATGGTATTTTAATGTTATTTTGTTTCTAGATTTTCTTGTATTATAAATACTGGAAAACCATTGTATAAGAAATGCTGTTAAAAAGATTATGCAATTATATCATTGAAACTTTGACTCTTTTCATTTGGTTATTGTGAAATTATTAATTAAATTATTATAGGTTATTATCATTATATCAAAATGTAACAGGTATTTAATTGGGGACATGTTTAAAGGGAAAACTGATAATTTCTTACATTGTGGGAAAAGGTCCAAAGAAAAGAACCTTTAAATCTCCTTAAAAAACTTGCCAGTTTTCTTGAGGTCATCTACTTGGCTTAGGTCATAAAATCTTATCAGCCCTGTGAAAGGACTTGTTAATTGGTTTGCTGAGAAAAATGGGATCCTCTTTTCCAATTCAAGCACTCTTTGACAAAGAGGGGGAGGATTTATAAGTTTATTTATAGTATAGCAACAATTTAAGTGATGATTTGAGAGTATGATAATTAAGAAGTTATACCTGGAATAGCGGATATGGAAACTTCATCTTAAACTAATTTATTCTTAACTGAGTTGAGGCTCAGAGATTTAGTTTTGCTCAAGGGGTTGATATATGATACCTTAAGAGATGGATATGTCAGTCTGTAGATATGCAGTAATTATCCAGTGATTTTCTGTTGAGTTTTTTTTTTTTGAGTGAATGAACATATATGTGTTCTCTACGTGGAATTCCAAATTGTAACTGTTTTCTTGATTTCTAATGCTTGATTTTTATACAAGGATAAGTTTAAACTGGGGACAAACAAGATAAAGAAGAAGAAAAGGGTGTTGAGTGAAATTTTTTCTCCGTGGGCAAGGTCTGGTAAATATTTATTGCCAATTAACTCATTGCAACAACATGAGAGTAATAATAACTGTAACCAGCCCTAAGATATGATTAGTGAAATTCTGTTATTTGAGATGAAATCTCATGAGAATCTAATCTGATTTGTTCTGAGTTTTGAATTCAGTCTTAGTTGTCTGAATGATCATTAAGTCAGTAATCCATCTTTTGAGAGAAATGCCAATAGCTGCTCAAAGGGAATGGGGTCTGAGAACTGCTATAGGTAGATGTTTGTCCCTGAGAAAAGTTGAGAGGGTGACCTTGGATCAGCCTAAGGTAGGGTCCTCTTGACTTGGTTTCCCTATTGGGTTGTTTCTTTTTGAACATTCTCTTCTCTTAGGCTTAGGCATGGAGGATCAGTGTTGATGCTGCTATAGTCATTTCCCTGCTTATTCCTTTCAAAGCAAATTTCTCTAAACAGGGCAAGTGAAACTGTATTTTTTTTTTAACATAATGATTCTTGTTGTTTCAATACCTTTGCACATCTGCACTGCTATAATAAGATGCAATTATGAAAGATCTTACTGTTTTCAATCTGAAATTATAATCACTACCATGTTCCAGATCTTCTAGGAGAAACTTCTCTGTGAATAGTCCCATTCCAGAATGCCCAAGAGGAGATTTTTTTTTTTCAGAAACCAGACAACTGCATGAGACATCTAAGCCCTAAATGTTAATTGTAGGAATGGCTTTGAACTCAAAAAGAAGCTTCCAAATTTTAAATGACTGCCTTCTCCTTCTCCTAACATAATAAAGAAATACAAAATCCTCACTCTACTAGGAAAAGTGGGATAGGGAGGTTTGTGCTCATTTCCATACATAAAAATCTACAGCTTTAGACAATCCTAGGGAAATACACCCTGAAAATCCCTACTGTAAACTTTCAGCTAAAACTCCCTCTCCCTATAATTTGGAATTCCACCTTAAGAGATTATTCAAGAATCACAAATTTAGTTTCTCTTTAATTTCAAGGTCCATAAATTTTGGAAGATAGGGGAGGGAAAGCTATCTCAAACTTCCTTATCCTCTTATCTCTCTTTGCATTTCCACCTGGCCAGAATGAGAATGCAAGGAGAAAGTGGTATCTTTTGAAATCTTAGCAACTTAGAGTTCATGCTCCTTCACTTTTTAAAAATTTTACTCTGATAAGCAGATAAAGAATAAAAATACATATGGAAACCTATATTCACTCTACATGACAAGAAGCACAGAAGAAAAACTGGTTTTCTTTTCCCTTTAAGCATGCTCTGTTTACTCTTGTAGAGAAATCACTTTCATTATGACCAATCCACTTGACCAGAACTCAGGGAAATACAGAGAGTTCAAGGAGGGGGAACAGAGGCTTCTGAGTGTGGATTGGATCTTTCCCTTATCCTCTCCCCCTCCACCCTTTCCCCTTACCGTCTTGTTTCTATCTGAATTTAGGACATTCTTATGGCCTTCCAAATATATATGTATTCCCTCTTTTTCCCATTCCTGTTAATCTAGATACCCTTCTATCCCCACCCCCCATATCCTATTTCCTCACACTTTTATTTCTTTATAAATTTAGAAGAGTTTTATTCACTTCTCAATGTATATATTGTTCTCTCTCTCTCTCTCTCTCTCTCTCTCTCTTTAGGCAATTGGGGTTAAGTGACTTGTCCAGGGTCACACAGCTAGTAAGTGTCAGGTGTTTGGTCTGAGGCCAGATTTGTACTCAGGTCCTCCTGAATTCAGTGCTAGTGCTCTATCCACTGTACCACTTAGCCGTCCCCCTGTTGTCTCTTTAACCCACATCTGATGTGAATAGGGTTCCCTCTAAAAATCCCTCCTTTCTCCTCTCCCCCATGCCTATCCCCTTGGCCTTCTCTTTCTTTCTGAATTTAGAAGACTTTTATACTCTTCTGGATATATATGTATTGTTTCCTCTTTAATGCATTCCCAATGAGAGGAGGGTTCCAGAACTCCCAGCCCTCCTCCCCCATCTAATTCCTCTGTGTCAGTTCTGCCTCTCACACCTCATTTGCATAAGATAATTACTCTTGTTTCCTTGTTCTGAGTGGTTTGGCTTTTTAAAACCACATCACATTGCAGTCTAACCCAACCTTTCTTTCAAACTACCCAAACACTAAACACAACCTTTGACATATGGTTTACATTTCTTCATATAAAAAGTAAACAGTCTGTCCTGATTGAGTCCCTCGTAATTAGTCTGTGATGTGTACCTTATATTTCTCTTGGATCTTGTATGTCAAATTTTCTAATAAGTTCAGGATTTTTTTTTCTTTGCAGCAAAATCCTGAAAGTCTGGCAATTCATTCACCTCCATTCCCTTTAAAAAATTACTGATATATTTTGTTTTAACCTCATCCTAAGCTCCCTGGATACCTTGTTGCCCCATATCATGATACTTGGTTTATTTTTTGAATAAAAATAAAACCTTTAAAATGATGGTTTGAATACATAGATGAATATTAAAGCAAAACAAATTCCCACATTGACCATGTCTAAAAATGCATTCTTTTTGTTGTTGGGCCATTTCACTTATATATGACTCTTTGTGACCCCATTTGAGGAATTCTTGGCAAGAATTCTGAAATGCTTTGCCATTTATTTCTTCAGCTCATTTTACACATGAGGAACTGAGGCAAAAAGCGGTAAGTGACTTGTTGAGAGTCATACTCCTAGTAAGTGTCTGAGGTCAGATTTGAACTCAGGAAAATGAGTCTTTCTGACATAAGGCCCTGCACTCTGTGTACCATGTCACCTAGCTACACGCAATAGTAATTTTCCTGTTATTGAGTCATTTCATTCATGTCCAACTCTTTGCCACCCCATTTGGAGTTTTCTTGGCAAAGATCCTAGAGTGGTTTACCCTTTCCTTCTCAGCATTATAATGAATGAAGAACTGAGGCAAACAGGTTACGTGACTTGCCCAGGATCACACCACTAGTAACTGTCTGAGGCCATGTTGGAAATCAGGAAGATGAGGCCTCTTGACTCCAGTATTGGCATTTTATCCTCTCTGCTACTTAGCTGCCCATGACTTCTCTTGCTGCACATTCATTCCCTCTTTGAAATGAAGTAAATGACATGTTTCATCTTTACCATTCTGGGCTTGGGGAGTATCGTTTTGTGATCAGAATTTTGTCTTTCAAAGTAGAGTTTTCTGTAATGTTGTTATCATTTTATAAATTCTTCTTCCAGTTCTGCTCACCTTCCTCTGCATCAGTTCGTAGAAGTCTTCTAAGTTGCTTCTCAAAATGAACATTTTACCATTGCTTATGAGACAATAAGATTCTCTTACAATCGTATACTACACTTTCTTTAGCCATTCCCAAGTAAGATGACACCCCAGTAGTTTCCAATATGGGGCTACAGTGAGAAGAGCAGTTATGAATATTATTATCCATAGATACCCTTGTCTTTTTCTTTGATTTCTGTGGGTTGCTGACCTAGTCATAGGAACCTCCAATATTGATATTCCAGGATCCTGTAGAGGACACAAGGAATAAACATCCTAATAAGCATCAGGGTGAGATCACTTTCTCACCCTATTGTCAATATTCCTAAGCCACCCCCTGCTTCTAAGAAATGGGAGGTTACTCTAATATTTAGAGTCAGATGCAAGTCTCATTTGACATTGTAATTACTTTAATCATACTGGACCTTCAGAAAGTCATCTTGGGCAGAAGATATTCATCTGTTGTCAGGGTCAAAATGTGGGGTTTTTCTCCCACAAAGAGCATTGAGGTACCTGGGAACTTGTGAGTCACTGCTGATCAGCACATAGGGGCTAACAGCTGGGTAACATGAACCAAGGAAAGCAGAGGTATGCGTCAGCCAGAGTGGGGACTTTATACCTGACATATACACTGCCAAGATGCAATTGAGTAAGTAAGAGGAAATAAAGGTGCTCACTAACAGTAGGATAGTTTGGGTGGCCTTCATCTCTGGGAAGGCTTTGGGGGACAAGCAGGTAATGTGAATTTGCTGGACTTGTTTGTGATGCCTATACAGAAGAAACACCATGTAGCCACTGGCAGAGGCCATGAGTCCCAAATACACAACATCAGAAAAGGAAAGAAAGGTTACAACTAATGAGGCATGAAATCCAGAAGGAATGTTATGAGAACAATATCCCTGATCTTGTGTCTCAGAGATATTTCTGGTTTGCCTTGGGCCCTTAACTCCAAGAGGAATATAGATACAGAAAAGCAGGTGAAAAGTCCAACAGAAGAGACTAGAAGGAATGAGGTATGTTGGGGCTCTGGATTTAAGCCTTGCCCAATTGGAGTTGTTGGGGCTGATGCTGATGGCCTGAAAGCCACTCAGGAGGCAAGTCAAGCTGAGAGAAAGATCCCGAGCTACTCTGTGAAGGTAGAAAATAATTTTACAGCCAATTTCATCCAGGAAATTTTTCAGACCCAAAGCTGCCATTGTCTGAGGGATACCCTTTGAGAGAAAAACTAAGCCGTTGACCAAGGCCAGCTGAGTGATAATGGCATCTATAGATCTCATCCTATGTCCACTGAGAAACACAAAGATGAAGCAAGAAATAAGGAAGGAATTCCCTAGAAGTCCAATTCCTGTCTGGGAGAAGAAGGCAATACTCAGAATTATATCTTTAGATTTCATGATAGTAGTATCTTGATGAGAAGTACTGTCATCAAAGGTAGAGAGGCCTAGAGTAAAGTAAAATTTGATGTTATTTGTTAAAACTGGCTCTTTAATCCCACCTAGCAGATCCTCTTGAAGGTGTTTCTTTCTGGTCTTTACAGAAATGTTCTCTCACTTGGCTTTTGTCTATAGAGCAAGGAAGTTGGTATTAGTGTTGGGATTCTATTCCTTTAACCTCTTCTAGCTTAAGTAATAGTTCATGAAATAAACTAATTAGCCCTATAAATATTGTCCTTCCATAGAATAAGCATTTTAACATCTGATCATTGATATGAGATGAATGGAATAAAACAAACCTTAGTACAATGTTTCTGGGTAATTAATTAGCAATTTATTAATTAGGCTAGTTGGCAATAAACAAATTGATGGTTTGTGGTTTCTCATAGTAACCAAAATGCACACCTTGCAGAACCTGAAAATTCTAATAACGCTTGAACAGGAATTTCTTTGACTACTGAAAATCATCCCATATTGGTGGATATTTAATAAGGAGATGTACTAGGTCATAATCTCCTCCTGCTGAAAAAGTGACTTGATCATGAGACTCAACTGCCTCTAGCAGTCTGGACAGGGAAATCCATCTCTTTCTAGACTACTCTGATTGGTTTTCTCCTTCATGAGCTGGGTCACCCTAAACTCTAATGAATGGGTTTAATAACAGGGGCTCATTTCCCCAGGGTAAAAACTCATCCAGACTGCATTCTGTTTATGCTCTAAGTAGAAGTTAGGTGTCCTAGTTTGGTGAAGTCCCAGCTAAGATTGAAGAGCATATTCCTTGAAGTTTAGAGGTAATCTCCTCAATCAGTTATGTCTTTCAGACATTGGTTTTTAACAAGAACAAGGTTGTCATGAGAATATTACAGAGAAATGCCTAGATCCCAATTTAATAATTAGTTCTTAAGATAGGAGTAAAATAATTTGTCTCAGACAGATGTGAGACCTATTGGGTTAGGATTAACACACTCAACTCCCAAAGTTGGTTTGAAGCCACTTTTCTAAATCTGCAAAGAAAAATCAATCAATATTAATGAATGAAATAACAAACATGTATTAAGTGTTGATTGTGGTCTAAGGACTGAGCTAAGCTTGGAGATATAAATATGTAAGTAAAACTCTATTTGTCGTCAAGGATTCTAATGAACTAAAGCACATTTCCCTATATAAATATAAATAGAACAAACGGTGTCACTGTGCAGGCAGATGGTTCAGCTCAAAGGGGTCCACATTAGTCAATCTTACCTATAGAATACCAGTCCTTTAGACTCCCAGTCTTTCACAATTGCAGAGATTGTTTCATGTCTCTGTAGTGGAGTATATTTGCTTTTTTGAAGGAATAGAGACTGCTACATTCTAAGGACTATTTCTGTGTCATCAAGGTTCCCCAGCAGCTATCAGAAGACCTGACAAATGGTTGGCAGTCAATAGATGTTAAATGTTCTAAGCATGGATGGAAGGATCAAGGAATATTATATATGTCTATGAATTTCTGAGTTATAGGCAAGCAGAAAAGAAAGAGAAAGGGAGAAAGATACCTACAACTTTGACATCTGTGCCCTTCTCAGTCACCCAAGCATTATCTCAGTTCAGTATCTAAGGATCTTTCAAAGTATTAAAATTATTTTTTTCTCCACAATTTTGTTAAGTTTTCCCCTCTCCCTTTCACTTTCATTAAAAAAGAAAACAGAATATGAATGTAAAATATGAATGGTCAAGCAATATGAATTTTGACATCAGCCACATCCAAGAATGTGGCTTTCATTCTGCATTGTGAATTCATTACCCCTCTGTGGGGATGGGGTAGGTTTGCAATAACTTTCAAATAGACCTCCATGCCTTAAGTCTTTTCCTCTCCAATACATCCTCCATCAAACCTGATTAGTTTATATGTTTAATGTGATCTACTTATGACATTTTCTCATGAAAGCATCTTTAATACCTTCTCTTCACCTTTAGAATAAAATTCTGTCATCTATCTTTGAGACTGGCCTATGTCTACACTCAGTCTCTTCCATTTTATTTCATATTATTCTCTTTCACATACTCTCTATTTATATTAAAATAGATTGCTAGAATGTCTTTGATGTCATTCCTGTTTCTAAGCCTAGGGCAACCTTCTTCTATTGGAGAGTTATTATAGAAAATGCCATTTTGAGTTTGGCCCAGGCCCGTTACCCTCCATTATTTTTCAGAGTCTCAATCTCTGGACTTCACCACCATTCCTCAATTGCCTTGGAAGTTCCCTTATCTCCTTTTTCCTCCTCACTCTGGCAGTTTTAGCCCTGAAGGTTTCTTCTTTGATTGGTGAATTCCCCTCAGAGCCTCCATTTTGAGCAAATGGCCAGGCAAGCCATCCTTCATTCCTCCTTCATCTCTGATTCCGACTTTCTAAATCTTTTCCCTATGTCCATGTCAATGTCTTCCCCTACTTCCCCACAATAATGAAGAAAGTGTTTCAAGACATGAAGTTTTCCATAAGGACTTCCCTGGCCTCCTCCCAAAAATTTTAGTATGCTGTCTCATTGTTTTTATTATCATTAATGAAATTGTCTAACATTTCTATGATTTCATCTTTGAACTCTCACTTCTTTAGGATCCAATTATTTACTTGCCAATTAATTTTTAAAGCTTTTTTCGATGGTTCTTTATTGTATATAATTTTTATTGAATTGTGGTCAGCTAGAGATATGCTTAATATTGCCTCTTTTTTGCATTTTTATCACTATTTAAGGTTCTAGTACATGGAAAATTTCTGAAAAAGTGTTATGACTAACTTAGAAATGTGGGTATTCATTTTCAATTCCCATAAGAAGTGGAAGTACTTATTTTCCATTTCCATTCACTGATCATCAGAGTAGAGAATCTGGCTCTTGAAATTTCACTTGGGGCTTTAATATCTCCCTTAGTTTTTAATCTCTTTCTTTAAAAAAAGAATTTATCGAGTTAAGAAAAAAATGCATTGAGAACTGCAAAATTATTGTTTTCATATTTGTTTCTCCCTATAATTCTTTTAGCATTTCCTTCCAGTATATAGATTCTCTGCTATTTGGTGCATATACATTAAACAATGACAATTCACCGTCTATGGAACTTTTTTGGATAATCTAATATTTTTATTTTTCTGTTTCATTTAAGAGTAATTCTTCCTGCTACTGTTTTTTTTTTAATCCAGGTACACCATTCTAGTTTTTGCTCCATTCACTTATTATAGCTATGCCTGATTTTTAATGTTTAAAATTAACATATTGTTAACACAATATTATGCAGGGGAAAAGATATAGGCTTATAATCCCAATAACTCACTCACAAAAACTGAGTACAATGTAACAAAGGAAAATATGGATTTTCAATGAAGTAGGGGACTTCCACGCATCCCTGATTTAAATGCAAATATGAAAGAAGAAAAATATTAAAAGGTAAATTGTAGAGATAAAACATGAGGACTATATAAGAAAAACTTACTGTTGGCTTCTGCTTTCTAACCCATTCTTCCTTCTTCCAGTTTTATGTGTGAATTTGTCCCATTCACTTGCATGGTGGTGGTCATCAATTGTCTATTTTCCCCCATATTATTATGTAATCCCCACCCCCCATGGCCCCTCTTTACAATGAAGAGAATGGTGAGATAGGAGTATGCTTGGCACTTGTGCTCTTTGCTTGACCCAATGTCTCTCTGCACTCTCACTCTCCCAAGCACCAGTCACAGACTCTTAACCCTTCTTTCTCTTCTTTAAAACTCTTCCTCATAATTCCTCCTCTGAGCTTAGAGTTTGTTTTGTTTACAAGTAATCTTTTTCTGAATCTACCCTCTATTCTCTCCATCATCTTCCCAGTTTCCTCTTGTTTTCATGTTGAGATGAATGTGTTTGTTGCACCAACCTTTTTATATTTGTTTGTGTATTCTACCCACTTTTTACTAGTTGAAATGAAAGCGAGGTTCAACACATGCTTATTCTTTTCTCCATATTGGCATGTAATAATTTATATGTAATATTTTCTCCTTGGAGTCACTTCCCAATTATGCAAGAAAAGTTACCTCACCATTTCTCCCATTTTCTTCTGTGTTTTGTGAAAAATGATTTTTCTTGGTATTTGGTATCTTGAAGACTCAGAGCTCCCAGCTTCACCCCTGCCCCAACTTCTCTATGTATTGTCTTTCATTTTCCAAGAGGACCAAAATGACATCATTATGCTAGAGTCAAGTTTTGGTGTATCCAACTGTGGCTGATTAGACCAACATAAGCTCGAAATGTTCTACTACAGGTTGGGCACAAATAGTCCATGTGAGCCTTTGGGTGGATTCTCTAAGTTTGCATATCTTGTACATCTCTTCAGCTATTCCAATTCTGCTTTACTTATAGAGCACACTACCTTTTCTTACGTGGGCACACCATGCTGAGAAATCCTCTCCCATGTCACACAATCTATTCCAAAGTTTTTAAGAGAGATTTTGAGAGTGTCCTTGTATTGCTTCTTTTGACCACCATGTGATCACTGTCCCTGTGTGAGTTCTCTGTAAAATAGTCCTTTTGGCAAGCATACATTTAGCATTCAAACAATGTTGCCAACCCATCAGAGTTGCACTCTCTGAATCAGAGTTTAAATGCTTGGGAGTTTAATTCAAGGAAGAACCTCAGTGTCTGGTATCTTGTCCTGCCAGGTGATGTTTAGAATCTTCCCAAGATAATTCAGATGGAAGCGATTCAGTTTCCTGACATGTCGCTGGTATACTGTCCAGGTTTCACAGGAATAGAACAATGATGTCAGCACAAAGGCTCTGTAGACCTTCAGTTTGATAGTCAGTCTAATACTTCTTCTCTCCCATACTTTCCTTTGAAGCCTCCCAAACACTGAGCTAGCTCTGGCAATGCATGTGTCAACCTCATCATCAATGTGTACATCCCTGGAAAGTACACTACCAAAGCAAGTGAACTTATCTACAGCATTTAAAAGTTCTCTAT